ACACGGTGTGCCAACATCATTGCTAGCAGTCACAAAAGGGAAATATGTCTGAAATAAGACAAACATATTCAGCCAAGTTGCCTGAAGGGAAGTTAATATTAAACTTGTGCCATAAAAACGATATTATTGTTCTGAAAACATTTGGAAGCGATGAAAGTGTTCGGTGGAAACTTGGATCTGGATGACACAATTGGACTGAATTTATACAGCACATTTCTAGTCTCTCTCTCTCCCTCTCTCTCTCACACACACACACACACACACACACACACACGGACTGGAGGAGCCGAAGATCGAACCACCGATCTTCCGTTTAGAGGAAGACCCGCTCTACGTCTCTGCCACAGTTGCCTTGTTACGTCTGACAAGCCTTTTAAAAGACTAATTCATGTAATAGACTAATGAAAAACAACAATTGACACTTCAAATAATACTTTGCATACTGTTCAAACATGTAAAACCTGAAGTACAAATGGGTTGTCGCACACTTGAACCCAATCCTAAATCTCCCCACTGGCCTCTCAGATTAGTGTCTGTTAACGCTCTCTCTCATGGTGATCAGATAACAAGCTGGCTCTATTTATACATGCTGGGTCAGGCTACGGACAAACAAACATTTAAAAGGCAAGTCAACCCTCCACACTGGAGAGTGTGTGAACAGATAAGATCATAATTGCATAACTTGGCAGTAATAGCATTGTAATCATTCATCCATAAAGTGGGGCAGATGAGGTTCAAACTCCAATCAGAAGTAATAATATTGTGCCGTTTGTGTGCTTCTGTGGTCGGTCGGTGCAGTCTGAGCCAAATTCAAGGTTTGGCCTACACTTGACACCTTTCCTTCCTCCGGCCTCTGACGACAGGTAGTCGCACACACTTTTCTGTGGAAGCAGGAATGCCTCTGCTAGCTTTACAAATCTTGCCAAGTGTCACTCATTTCTTGAGGGGAAAAAAATAAATGAATTCAAAAAAAGGTAAGTAGGGGGAAAAAGTGCAAGGAGTTGAGTGGTATGGAGTGTTCTCTCACTCAAAAGCTGTGAAGCAGTTGAGAACAGAGAGAGTTGTTATCTTAGATCTACAGTTACGGCCCTGTAACGTCTTGGACTCTAGAACTTCATGATGCTGCAGTGGATGTTTTTGAGGCCCGTTTATCCCTCCAACCCTGCAGTGGGACAAAGGTCCACACTCCCAGTCATGCCTCTTGTGATGTAAAACAGAAAAGGCACAACTACATCATCAAAATCCATGTACATTTAGGCTAGATGGCAGATTTGAGCAGAATAATATGGTATGGGGGTTTCCATAGATCCAGGAGAAACGGAGTCCCCACATTTAAATCTCTTGCAAGCTCAATGGAGCATTCATCTTTCCACAACCACAAGCATGTAGCACTGGGCTTCGCATGCATGTTGAGGTTGTCAATGTGTAAATCAAATAGGAGAAAAAAATAAAAAATAAATTAAAAAAAAAAAAATTCTCCTCCAAAAACATTACCCGACTTCATTTAGGAAGCTGCTATATGTTCATTATGAAATTCTATCATGCCATTTATTTTGCAATTAACGCATAGCCAACTATCAAGAGACACCAGGAGAAGTGAAATGTGATCCAGCCACAATGTAGAAATGTGGCTGGAAATGTGGAGGGACCTTGGCACGTTTCCGTTTCAAACATTTTAAGTCAAACCAGGGGAGCTGCAACTCCTCAGTCTGTTGTTTGACAAATTGTAATGAAGAACACCTTAATTTAGTGTCACCAAGATATACAGAAGAGTCATAGTTTGCCTTCAAATATTTATGAAAGAATAAATCACTGAAGGAATACATTGTAGAGAAACAGACAAAAAGAAGGATGTAATGTGTCATGAAAGTAGATTACAGCAAGGATCCAAATAACCTATATAGGTTGTAGGTTAAAGCCTGAGTTTTATCGGTGGGGTTTGGAGACCACCAGGGGTGCTAGAGAGGTTTCAAAGGGAGTTCCAGACTTCATGTTACTATTTAATTCCCCTTGTGTTATCACAGTGAGAGACTATGTAAAAGTGACTGTTTGATCCACGTTTCACCATCTAACCGCCTGAAAGACAGTCAGCTGCATCCAATTCAATTTCATATTCGTGGTGGGTTAGTGCCGTTACCTGGACAATCTCCCGTGGCTGCACGGACAGAGTGGGGAAGTTTCCTCGGCCGTGGATGGGGACCGCCTCCCCCAGGATCGAGTCCAAGCGGTGCACCTGATCCCAAGACAAAACGCAGAACCGCCGACTCTGATCCGACGTATCACCGCAAGACATGACGATTTTAATTTGGGAAGAACAACGAAAGAAATGAGCAGAACAGTGAATGAGCGCTTCCTCTCAGCTGAGCTCTTCTGTCTTCAACGCAAGTGAGCTATTCCTGAGGAGGTCCTGTTACTACTAGTGAGGTGAAGGAGTGGGAAAAGTTTCAGTCAGAGGTGCAGGAGGTGGGAGCAGCCGTTTCCATCGGTGTGTGCAGCTAAAATCCGGTCAGTGCGCAGAGAACCGATTCATCAGAGGGTTTAAAGCATCCTGATTAGCATGAGCCCTGTGATTGGCTACTGTGTTTGACAATTGATTATGGACGCCCTGTCTGTAGGAAACACCCTTCGCGTGACGCATTTGACAGCCTCCTCCCCCCTCTGCTCTGCTCCGCGTGCACCATGCATGCTGACAGGGTTTTCCCTCAAACGATCATTATGATTAAATTGTCTGTTGGTCTGATGCCGCCGCAGCAATATTATAAATGAGCGTTTAGTGATCTGCAATTTGGTAATTCGTGTCATAAGTAAAAATGACAGCGATCATGTAAATTACAGCTGTGCAAACACAACCTACATGTATATTTGCTCAGGGAATGTTTGCAGGTGTTAAAGGCCTTGCTGAAGGGCACTTCAACAGACGTCATAGGTTACTTTGACGAAGCAGGATTATCCAGAAAACAAAACCAGTTGCGACCTTTTCAGCCACATTAATATCATTCATTATCACAGACTTAACATAAAAGACATTTAGACTCTGAACAGTGTGAACGGCACAAACACAGCAGCCTATATTCAAACAACATCTGTGTCCGCTTTCTTGTCCATTTTAACTAATTACATACTTTCATTTAATTCAAATTAATTCAAATATGTCATGTAAAGGTAACTGCAGATTGCAGAGACGGCAGTTAGTTTTAGCCTGCTAAGCTAGGCTAGTTAGCTTCTAGTAGGACTAGCTTATCTGGTCTTACTTTCTTTCTCCATTATGATTATATTTAGCTATACTGCCTTCTTCATGTGGTATAAAAACACTTCATTATTAACATTTTGGAGCATCACTATTTATTTTGCGATTATCGTTACAGGAAAGAGGAAATGTTGGGAAATTCTAAGAGTGCAGAATTGGAAAGTTGTGTTCACGATATGCTCGGAGTTCAAGTCGTGAGAGCGCCGCTGCATGGCAAAGGCAACGTGACGCTACAGGCTGAGGCTAATAATTTAGCAGTGGGTTATGTTATTCGGGAAATGCAAAGGAATAAAAGAGGAACAAGATGAGGCCTTTGGGAATATCAACATTTTCCTCAGACTTATAGAAACTCAAGACTGAAATTCAAATATATTAACGATTCACCAAAAAATTGTACTTCCATGGCTTCCACCATTTGGCGTTGTAGAGCAGTATAATCTCCATCCACACCAACATCACAGGGTTTGAAAAACCCCTGTAGGCCCATTATCCCCAATATAAATAGTGTAAAATATACACAATACAAATGCATGTGTTTTTCTAAATTTACTGTTATGTTCATAATAAAAAGACTCAGCCTCTAACAGTATCTGATACATAAAACAGACTCCATAGAAAACTTCAAGAACACCATCATCTATTTCACTGAAATCCAGGAGCCGTTTGTCAACCGCAGAGTATTTAAACTATGATAGCAGGCTATCAAACCTCTAAAATGTTGCTTGCTGATCACACATTTTTATAGCTCCTTATCTTTTTTGGTAAATGGTCTTGTTTAAAGTAACCTTACCTTTGAGTTGTGTTCATACAGCCAATGGAAAATGAAAGGCTGCAACCCCCACGGACAATCATTTATTCAATTAGCTCATGATTGTGCAGGGGTTTATGAAAAGGCTCCGATAACCCGTGATGCCCTTTAAGCTTTCCATTTGAGTTTTCATTTACCTCACCGCCCCCTCTTTCCACTGTGCCTCCTTATCTCTGGTGCAGAGTGCTTTTTTATTTGTTTTTGCTGCAGATACAGAGACATTCCTCTGGTCTGAACAGAACATAATGTCAGCTTTTAATGCCTAAAACTGTAGGTAATGGTCCATCTGAGGCAATAAAATGAATTACAGTGAGACTTGAGTAAAATAATGCACACATATTAGATTGATTTGTTTAGCTGCTGTCAGGTGCATTCAGTGTCCTCCAGTTTATTTAACCCTTTTGAGTCTTCTCTGCATCTGTTCTTACAGGAGTGGAGTCTTCATATCTTATCCTGTCCTGCATGCAGTCTAGTATATGTTTAAATTCACTGAATATCCTCTAATGAAGGACCTGACACAATAGCAGACATGACTCTTTGAGTGGTGAGAAGATTTGTTGCCAGTATGTGATGTGCCAGTGAACAATACAGGTGAAAACTTCAGTAATTTCCTCTTTTAAAATGACCCAAATATGTCATCATTTATATACAATCCCTAACAAATCATACATGTGCACACAGCATGTTAGTGCACCTGTAAAATGTTAACAACAGAGTAAAGTTCATGTCGTGATTGATCTGTGTGGGGTTTTAGTGATGTAGCAATAAAACACGGAGAGGCAGACATGCACTCTTACGCACATTGTCTTCCCTGAACATGTGCGTGTGTATTTAGTTCACACCGTTGTCCACAACACACAGCAGGACGTTGACGGTGTCTTACAAGCCTCCGAGAGATCGGGGTGGTGGGCGTAAGTATGGATTCGGTCTCCGCAGAAGACCACTTCGAATCCAGTGATGTCAACATAATCCTGTTTCCACGGCAACAGCATCCGCTTCGGTTGTCGGGCAGCTGGGCAGAGGCGTCTCCAGCTGAGGGGCCTGCCAGGTGCCGATGTCAGACATCTGCGTCATCCGACTATAAATAACCCTCCATGTAGCAGCTGTGCATCCTGGGAGCAGAACCAGCATTTACCTGAATGCGAAACACTTGGGAACGAGAGAAAAGCGACGGGAGGTAAATGTCAGGCCGCCTGACATTCTCAGGTTCCCTCACAGCCTCGCGTCAGAGGGAGGCCAGACGGATGTGAAGTCAATTCATTCGTGTAGTGGAACAAAAGCAATTAACACAAATGAGACAACAACAACAAAAAACTCCTCAAATGGGTTCACTGCTTTGTGTTTAATTCCCCTTTTGTGATTTCATGTAACTGCCACTGGATCCTCTGTTCATCCCTGAGTTGACATCCTGCTGGAGCCATGAGAACTGAGACTGTGAGTCTAGTAGGTGCGGTAAGATAGCCCGTATTTAAACACACCTTTAACAAATGGTGCATTAGACAGGCGTATGTTCTGGTCTAAACCATGTAAACATTCTGAAACAATCTTGAGGTAATTATATTGACGGCCATCAATGGAAGTCCTTTGAAGTCTTTCTTTCTCTGCGTTTGTGCTCAAAGGCGGATAAAATAAATCAGACAGTAGTTTGTTTTGCTGTCAAATATCTTTCTCTTTGTCTTTGCCTCACAGGCAGCGACAGGACGAGGAACAACGCAGAGGAAACAGGCTTTTCTCTCAAGAGTTGAGGACATGCTTGGACGTCACAGCGTGTTGTAAAAGCCTGGCTGAAAATCGATGAAGCCAAACAACAAGCAGCCAAGTGTCACAATGACCAATCGTGCGAAGACAGATAACACTCCCGTCTGTCGCACAGGATGAGTTGTGAAGCTCTTTTCTCACTAGTCTGTCAGAGCCCACGACAATCTAAGTGAATTATTTGCCCAAGAAGACTTCCCTCATCTGTCACTGAGGACATGTTGTACTAGAAGATACTTTGCTATTATTAGAGTGTGCATCATGGGTGATTGTGGACAGTATTGCCATAGCTAAAATAGTGATGCGGCTGCTGCTAATACAGAGCAAGGGTGACATTAACGCTGCATGTTTCATTTTGAAAATCTACTTTGGCTTTGTGAATTAATAAAAAGTTGTGTGTTGTCGGGCTCAGTCTGCCATGGCTGCAGATAAGCCGTCTATATTCAGCCAGGTTGAGTTGACCAGTCAGGCTGGACCCCCGGGGGCCAAAACACGCGGTAGACAGAGTGTGTGATAAGAGAGGTTGAGTTTGCTTCTCTAGATTGCTCCGGATGACAAATCTATGGGACAGTGGAGCGAGGTTACGCAAGCAGCCACGCTTCTGACGTCAGACTCTCTCTGCTGCCTACCTGATTGATTACAGTAGTGCTTGGCAGAGCAGACCGGTGTGTGCTGCTGGAAAAGAAAAACAAACACACCAAAATACACTTAAGATTCAAGTATACATCAGCTCCCAGGTCTGTCCACACCAGCCGCACACACTGAAATGGAAAAATACTCAGTTGAGGAAAAGCAATCACAACTTGATGTTGATCTATTGTTTTGCTACTAATGTTGGCCTAAAATCAAACCATTACCAGTGTTGCATTGTTGTTACCCAAACCTTATACTATTTCCAAAAAGATTATGGTTGTGTTAAGACTGGTTTAGACAGGTACTAAACTGGATCCAATGAGTATGGTTTCATTTTATAGGAGAGCGGTGGGAATGCTTTCTACCATTTCCTGTTGCAGATCCATAGTAATGCCATAGCTGTGACCGTTTCTTCAGAAAAGAGAGGTTATTGCAGTCGAAGCACTCTAAAGCTCAACGGTCAACTGTAGTGTTAGGCTACGTATTACGAAAGGCTCAGCTCACTTTACTCTCTTTAAGGTTGGAAAGGGGGAGGGGGGGGGGGGGGGGGGGGGGAAGTTATGTGTTATGTGAAATACATTATTGAAAGAGAAAGAATGTAAGTCAAATAGCAGCTGTTGTTTAGAAACATAGATCTATACAAAGGTACACGAAAGATATGAAATTCCTTTGGGTGATATTTCCCCAATAAATTCTCAATCTATGTGATAACTTACAACTGGTGGAGTCATGCATACATTTCCTTCTGCATCGATGCTGATTATATGTTTCTCTCTTTTCCTCAAACTCTCAGCTAAGCACATGAATATGGCACATGTGACTTATTCCTGCTTATAGACGAGAATGTGCAGAAGGAAGCTATGGCCCTGGTAATAAAACACCCTCACCTCATTCTGTATGTCTGGGACATCCTAACTTGGACTGGAAGATCCTTCCTTAACTGGAGCCTAAATCGTGTTGTGCAACTGCACCACATTTGGGGTCCCTGTTGCATACTATAATGTCAAATGAATCTGGTATGATTCCCCCCCTGCTCAAATACTACCAACTACACTAC